TTGGTGACAATAGATATTCTGAGAGTCTTGGATGCCCATAACTGACTGAGATAAACAGGAGAATGAAGCATGATGGAATAAGCCCAGTCTCTCAAAATAATTAAAATACACATTAAGCTTGTTGCTGTGGATGTCCTACATGGTCTAGCTCTGCCTACATCTCTGACCTCATTCTTTTCTATTCTGCTTGCTCCCTGTGCTCCACCTTCACAGGCCATCTTTCTTTCACTCCAGCATGCCATATTTTTTCTACCTCTGTTTCTTTTCCCCTTTGTGCTTGCTCCTCTGAGAGGCAGCATAGCAAAGTGGTTAATAGCATGAGCTCTGGGTTCAGACTTCCTGCTCTGCCACTTTCTAGCTTTGTGACGGTGAGCAAGTTATTTAACCTCTGTGCTTCAGTTTCCTCATTTGTAAATGGGGGAATGATAATAGTACTTACTTCATAGGGATGTTGGGAATTAAAAGAGTTAATTTTAAAAATTAATGTAAAGGATATAGAACAGTTGCTGGTATGCAGTAAAGACTCACTAAATGTTAATATCATTATTTTTTCTTCTGTTTGAAACTTTTCCCCTATTTCATTATGTGGTTGCTACTTTCTCGTCATCAGTTGTCTCAGCTCAAATGTACTTCCTTAGACAACCTGGATAAAGTAGCATCACTCTGTTGGCTTTCTTATCTCTTTATCTTAATATCCTATTTTATTTATTGATAACATTTACACTATTTGAAATTATTTTATTATTCTGTTCTTCCCCTCTCTTCCTTTCCCCTGACAGAGAGGAAGAGAAGGAAGGAGAGAGGGACTTGTTCCCGACTGAATCTCAGTTTCTAAAACGTGGTAGATACTTTGTAGGTGCTCAAGAAATTTTTGTGCCAACTCATCCTGAAAATGCGCTGGTTTCCAAGGCCTCTACTCTGATCAGGCAGCATACGGTGGCAAAGTAACAGTGAGGCTTAGGCAGAGAAGACAGAATCTAGCGCTTTGTGTATCAATCCGTTGGCTCATCTAGATGAGGTAGCTGTCTATTTTTGTGTTATTGGAACACAGCCACATTCATTTTTAAATTTATTATCTGGCTACCTTATAGCTACGACCACAGAGTTGAGTCTAAAGTATTTACTGTCTGGCCATTCACAGAAAAGTTTGCTGACCCTTGATTTAGATGCATAGAAGAAAAGACTAGAAAGGGAAAACCAAAAATAATAATGAAAGATTTCTTTGGAAAATGGGATTATTGGTCATTTTAGTTTTTATCTTTATGCTTTTTTTGTATTTTGTTATAGACCTGTTAGATTTGGAAATGAGCCTTGTAAATACTAATTTTGAGGTGTTCAAAGCGTATTTAATGATGGGTTATTAATGTTTTTTTTTTTCCCTTAGTGCTGCTTTTGACACAAAAACTGGGTTACGTGTGGCAGTGAAGAAGCTATCCAGACCATTTCAGTCCATTATTCATGCCAAAAGGACCTACAGAGAACTGCGGTTACTTAAACATATGAAACATGAAAATGTAAGTTACTCATTCAAGGAAGAATAAATTCTGCTCTGGAATAGACTGGGAAAAAATGTGTTTTAATTACTGTAAATGGAACTACATTAGAGCACATCAAACTTTGGATCATGCTTCTTGTACTAGGGTTTTAGTGGCCACTGTGTTATGTAAGGTAGTTACTTAAAGCCTTGGAGTGAAATTGGTACATCTTCCTGGATTTCGAGTTTTACTCAAAAAGATTTTTAGATGGAAAGTGTTAATTTTTTTAAAATGAAAAGATATATTATGAGGTATAACAAAATTCACAAGGATTTTTAAGAGAAAATATTACAAAGAAATTTTATATTCTTTACTGGGTTTCCTTATGGCTATCTTATCAGAATATGTGATTCCATGCTGTTTATTATTATGGATTATTTCAGTGGAGAAGTTTGAGGAAGAGTGCCTTAGGCTCACTGAAAGTTCTATCAAAGATGGCTATTATTTTATATATAATTTAATATTATATTTTTTCTTTTTAATCTTCAAAAAAGCATTTTCTAGATTTGGGTATTTTAATAAATATGACAAAGACATTGTTTAAGTTAAATAAAACTTTTTCTTTTCTATCAATTTGGAAATTTGAGAACAATGCCATCCTGTAAGGAATGTTTAGAAGTTCTAATATGGTAAATAAATGGATGAGATTGGAATATTAAATGCAAATGAAAAAATACAACTGAGGACACTTATTTTCCTCAATTTCAAAATCAAGTTAAAAAGAATGTATATGATTGCTGTATGAAAGGAACTATAAAATTTGCAATATTGTAGAAACAATGACCGTAGAGATTTTAGAGTAATTTGACCCTATTGATTGTTACTGTGTACAAAACTTCAAATTCTAAATTTATTACTTGGCTATTTAGATCTTTTCTGTTTTAATAATTGAACTTTTTGGTTTATAGTAAGAAAAAATCACAGATAAGAGCTACTTTATTCATATTTATTTCACAAAGTATACATTTTTTCAAAATTGACAACAATGAGACATATTTGCAATTGGATTATGAATGCTGTTGTAATCACAGCTGCACCTTCTTATTTGTTTTCATGTTTTATTTTAACTGCATACTATTGCGAAAATTCTGTTTTCTACAGGTAACCTCTCTTCCTAGGTATAATTTAATGTGAGCATCCATGTGCAAACCTGAGTTTTTAAAAAATTCGGTGCAGAGCTGCAGACTTTGTGACATGTTTACAAGAAGCTGAGATAATGTGGAAAAGCTAGCAAGAGAAGCTTTATTCCAAGGTCTGCATAAAATCGAGATGGCTTGGCAGCTTAACTGATAACATTTACATTTGGTTTTTAACACGGTTGAGTGTTTATGCTGTTTCTCATTACACATTAATAAATGTGACAGAGACATTGTCATTAGCTTTTTAAATGTAAAGAATACTTTGAAAATGGAATACAAGCCAAACATTTATAGAAGCCCAAAGCATCTCCAGGAGGCCCTGGGATCCCGCTGATGTTGCCTACACTAATTTAAGGACATCTGGTTTAGAAGATTACCAGTGCTATACTTTATTGTTTTGCTTTTCTTTATATATAAAGTAAGCCAACGTTTAGGGCAAAAATTATTTTGGGTTATCTGAATCCATGCCTTAGCTTTTCTAGTGATCATAAGCAACAACCTTATTGCTTTAATTTTCCGTAATGAGATACTTTGAAATCTGTCTTATATGATATCAGGCTGGTTACATTTGGGCTATTCTTGTATTTGTAGAAATGAGGAGGCCACAGTGATGGATACAATTTTGCTAATTTAGGAAAGGTTACAAGACTCCTTTTAAAAAGAGGACTGACGTTATTAGAAAAACAAGGTTTTGATTTACATAAATTGTTTCATAAGCAACTTGCTTAGTAGTAGTCTATTCTTTTTTATATTAAAATATTTAGGTTTTAGCAGTATTAATGTACAGAGTCACCTGTATTTAGGTATTGGCGATTTGTTGTTTGAACAAAAGAAGGCACATGTCTGAATGTTTCATAGTTCTCTATTGTGTTGCAGATGTTTGAAGGGGGAATGAGAAGGGGACGAAAGACTTTTTGACTCAATGTGGAAAATTTTCTGAATTTCAGCCTAGTCTACAAACAATTGTTTGGTGCTTAAAATGTAGAAATGGTTTTCCTTGGTAAAGAACAGGAGACTTCCAAGTAAGCTTAATGAGGATTTTAAAAGGAATTCCTTTCTTTATTCCCCTCTTCCTCTTTTTTTTTTTTATCACTGCTTTGGGCCACCAACCAAGTTTTAGCTAGCCGCCAGATCTCCAAAGACAACAGCAATAGCAACAGCTTAAAACTATTGAAAATTTTAAGTGAATATTGATAACAAAAAGAATTTTTAAGATGCCAGAATGCACAAGTCATCTTTTACACAAAAGTACATCTGACCCACAATTCGTAGTTCATCTTATTTCTTTTATTAGTGACAGTGAATGACAGATACACATTTATCAGATGAGTAACAGAAGCTGGGGGATGTCTTCTGTGACTGTAAGAGTTATTCTCTGAACAAGGTTAGCTGGTCTATTTTTCACTGAACTTGCGACCGAGGTCTCATTAACACCTGCTCTAAGGAAGGATTAAGGGAAGCAGCCTGCCAGCTGCATCCTTTAGCTGTCTGGGTAGGTCCTACAAAGACTGCCCAGTTAAGGACCTGGGTATCTGTACATTTGAAATTAAAAAATGATTAAGGTAATCCTTTCATAAATTTTATTCTGGAGCCTTATATTTAACTTCACCTTGGTAGACCAAATGATTGTTTTGGTTTGCTTGTGTTAAGTACATTAAATATTGTCTTTGATTGATTACTGAGTTAAAGTATTTATTTTTTGTGCTAATTTAATAAAAATGTATTACCTCTTTGTGTCGGCCTCTGGAACATTGTAGGACAATCACCAGAGATATTTGTTGATTATTTGTTGATTATTTTTGTAAATTTGTTTTCTAAAAATTTGATTTCTGGGCTACTTTTAGGTATCATATAATGGCGGAAAGAGTAAGAAAATAGGCTAAAATATGACAAGTTAAAAGGAAATTTCCATTTAAGAAATGAGAAATGAATAGATTATGGAATATTCCTAAAATGTTCCCCAGATCTTTTTAATGCTGGGAAAATTGTTTTTACAGTATTTTCCTTATTAGTAATACTCCATAAAATATGATTAGTAGAGAAAAGAGACATTTTGTAAAAGCCCACAAAAAATTTAAAATACTTTGATATAACATGGGTAGTTTTAATCTCAAAATGTGTCACATTTAAGGAAATTAAAATTTGATAGGGTATTTACTAATATGCTTTGCTCAATTTTTTCTAGATTAGTTACTTGTGCTTCATGCAGTCATGCTTTTTCAAAATTAATCATTTGAATAATTTAGTGTAGCTTTATATCTCAAATTTTGTTACTGGAAGTAGCTGCTTTGAATAGTTTGTTTCTGTGGTTTTTATTTTGTAATTCTTTATAAAACTCCAAGGGTGCGATAACCACTAATCTTCCCTACAATACTTTGAAAATAAATAACGATATTTCCATTTCTTTCATATGAAGAGAATGAGATTCAGAGAAGATACCTTTATTTCATTTATTTAACAAATATTAATTGAACTACTGTAAGCTGGTCACTATTCCAAGTGCTGGGGTTATTGGAATTGAAAAAGATATAAAAGCTCATGGATCAAACTTACAGTTGTTCCAAAATGCCTGTCGTGTGTTAAATTGAAATTGGGGCATTTACTTGAAAATGTTTTGAACTTGCTTTACTGTCTTCAAAGTGTCTATTGCATGAATAATCCTGTGTAAATCTGATTTCTAGTGGTTTAATTTTATTTTGATCTGAGGATGATTTTTCACAATCAAAATCGAAATAATGTAAAATGATGTAAATTGTTTTAAACTTGTATTGAGGAGATGGGTTATCTCAGATAACAAGAATCAGTGATTAGAAAATATTGGAACAGGTAGATAAAATTGGCTTCTAGATCTCAGCTATTTAAAATGCAGGTGGTATAGGGGAGAATAATCAAAAGACCAGAGGTCTTAAGGCAGGATTATATCAGACTCAAAGAAAACAATTGTGGTTTAGATGGGGAAGGAAAAGGAAAGTAATTTGACTTAAATTTAAAGCACTATTTAGAGCCATTATAAGGTCACGATACACTATTGGTGGGAATGTAAGTTGGCCTCACTTTTATGAAGGACAATTTGATAAGAGTAAGATCATTAAATATATTAGTGTCCTTTGATCCTGTAATTCTATTTCCTGAAATTTGTTCCTTGGAAGAAAATACAAGATGCGCAAAAAAAAAAAAAAAAAAAAGAAAAAGGAAAAAAAAGTTATATATATATATACACACACATGCAGTGTTCCTTAAATGTCCAAAGATAAGAAATTAGTTAATTATGGTACATATATACAAATAATAGAGCATATTATTGAAAAATAAGGACATAAGAATAATCATATGTTAAGTGACAAGGTGGGATAAAAATCTGTATGCATAGTATAACCCCAATTTAATTTATGTACTTTGGAAAAAAACAAAGGAAATATATCAAAATGTTAATGATAGTTATAATAGGTAGTGCAATTATAGGTAAGTTTGGTTTTCTTTTAAACAGTTATCTGGGTAAGGATCTAATGCGTAACTAACTACCTTTCCTTTGGAATAAGATGCAAAGACTTGAAAAAGCTATTCTTGAATTCCAAGAGTTTCTTTTGGTTTATTTTTCTTTTTGGTTCAGACTAAATAATTGAAATCACTTTTAAAAGTCTGGTATTTGGATGAGAGGAGTAACATTCTAATTAGAAGTGCTTTTTCATGATAATGTTTGGAGCATTGGTATGTTTTACCATTAGAGCTATTAATTTAACTTGGTTGGTTAGAGCAGCATGCTAATGAGGCAACAGTCCTGGGTCAGTTTTCACCAAGGCCTTTTAGCTTTCGTTTGTTTCTTTTCCAGACTCCCTTAAATCTGGCTGGACCTGTTACAAGTGAATTATAGTTGTTTGCCTTCTCAGTGCCTAACTTTGTAGAGTTGAATAGTCTGGGTTTTAGGAGAAATGGAGGGTGTGAAGTATATGTGGATTACAGTATAAATTCATAACCAGAAAAACTACTCAAAGACCATGGATTACTGAGTATTAAGTAGCTCTTTGCTTTATCCTTGTGTAAAGATAGCTTTCAAAATAATGTAGTCTTATCTAAATGCCTGATAATGATTAAGAAAATTATCTTAATATTAAGAATATTATGGGAGCATTTGAGATCTTACTCCCCAGTGTGTTGTCAGTTTTGGCCCAAATAAACTCTTAAAAAATTCTCAAAAAAAAAAAAAAAAAAAAAAAGAATGTTATAAGAGTAATACCAAGGATATACTGAGAGAATATTTTGGGGCTTTAAAAATGTCAGTTTTGAAGACTATATAATAATATGGAAAGTTTTCATGGAATAATAATACATTTAAAAAAAGATACTATAATAACAACTGTAGATGTATGACTTTTTTCTGTTTGTTAATCATAGACTATTAGTGCATATATAAGTCAAGAGCTCAAAAATTTTTTGCTTCTGTATAAACTAATAGCTATGTGTAACCAAATTCTAAGGAGTTGATGATTTTTAATAGTAAAATAGGCTTTTATGAGATGTGATATTAACAAGTAAAAACAAAAGCATAATTCAGGTAGAAAATAAGATGTAGTTATTTTATTAAGTATGCATATGATTTGGGGATGTTATTGAACTGAGATAGTGGGAGTTGGAATTAATTCATATTAAAATATTAAGACCTGATGGGTACCACATTAAGTTCAGTACTTATTTACTGTTTGATATTTATGTTTTCCTGTAGGTGATTGGTCTGTTGGATGTTTTTACACCTGCAAGGTCTCTGGAGGAATTCAATGATGTGTGAGTAAATCTTTTGCATTTGTCTTCCTCAGCCAGGGGATGAAGATTAGCAGCCCATTTTCTATTTCTGAACCCATTTAGCAGTATACAAACTTCAAAAGATTCTTTATTTCTATCATCCAATTCTTCTGGGGGAATGGGATAGATACAGAAGATGTATATTATGGGCGGTCAATGTATTTTCATCATTTCAGGCATGTTTTACTTTATTTGGAGAGTTATTGGTGAGTCCTTGCTGAGTAGTTCAATGAATAAGAGTATAGGGAGTTTGGAGTATGATTTTTGTTCTCAAATTGCCTTTCCCAACTTTTAAAGGGACACCTTTACGTTATTACATCAAGAAGTGTAATGGTGCTCTGGTTCCATTTAGATTCTTTCTCCTCTTTTATCTCACTTGTGTGTGAGAAATGATACTAGAACTCATAGCTGATCCTTGCAGCATTGGATTTCTGCACTGGGACAAAGAGAGGGCCTCACATGTCGAGAAAGCTGATGAATAGTGCTAATTCTCCCAGATTTGTGACCATCTCTATTATTTTAGCCTGGGACCCTCCTGGAAAGCAGAGCCAAGATTCTCAAGACCAGTAGTGGGGAACTAGGGAAAATAAAACAGGGACGAGAGAAAGCTGATACAAGGATATGTTATTAAGTTGGTCACCATTGTGAGCAACTGGGCTGAAAACTGCCTGGATCTTCTAGGAAGCTATACAGAATTCATCTCAGATAGGAAGCATTTATTCACTGGCTCCTGGCCCCATTGGCAAGGGTTACCCAATGGGGTATTCATGTCCTCATGTGCTTGGGTTACACCTGTGTGAGTACAAGACACATGTGCATTCATGTAAGAACAAGATAGATTTCAGCAGGTGTTTTGTACACGTACAAGCTCTCTACTACAGCTTTCCCAGTATCTGAATTAGTATACCTCCCTCCCAGAAGGGCACATTTTTTACCAAGGATGAACCTACAGTGACACATGATAATCACCCAAAGTCCATAGTTACCTTAAGGTTCATTCTTGGTGCTCTACATGTTATGGATTTGGATAAACGTAGAACAACATATCATCATTATAATATCTTATAGTGTATTTTTACTGCTGTAGGAGTGATGGTTTTGATATTCTGCCTAGATGTGGAAGAAATGCTGAAGTAGCGTATTTGCGAATTACTTTGGAAAACATTTGAATCAGATCCAAGCTATAGCCCCAAATTTTAGGTACAGTGCATTGGATTTATTTAACAAATTGATGATTTGCTGACCTAGGCAAATGCTGTATTAATCAGGCATTATGGAACTGGATTATGAATCAGTTTTTCCTATGCGAAAGGACTTTATTTAAGGCTAGCGTCTGTTTGAAAGGTTAACTTTTATCTATTTTAATGCCTTTGTCTCCTTTATGCATTTGAAAGCCCATCAACTATCAACTTCAGGCATACCGAACCAAAGTTGAATTTCCTTCTTAATTTTTCAACAATTACCATGGCTCCTGAGCAGGAAACAGTTCTTTCTACTTAACTGTAGCTGTATTTATTTATTTCCAACTTTATTGCGATATAAGTGACATACAACATTGTGTAAGTTGGGTTCTAATTATTTATAAACAAGAACTGAGTTCATCTCTTGGAAGTATTCAGCTATTTATTGAATACTTGATGAGTGGAGTGTTGGAACAGGCTCAGAATAGTCAGAAACATTAGTCTTTGCCCTTGATGAAATCAAAATCTCTTTAGGAGAAATAAATTCAAAACATTTTTGAAAGTTACCAGTTGGTCGTATGACCTTGGACAAGTCACTTTACCTCTCTGGGCCTCAGTTAACTTCCCTGGAAAATGATGAAAAATTGGGGTGGTCGACTTCTGAAGTGTTTGCAGTCCCAGAGACTCTCTAAAAATAGAATGATGTGAACCTAAGGTTGCCGTTAGGAAAATATTTTATTGTTTATTTTTTATGATGTTTGTATGACTGAAAAAAATTAGTGCTTGTCCAGGATTATGGTTATTTCAGTGTTTTCCAAAGACATTAGGGTTTGAAAATTAAATATACCTTTAGGGCCAGACAGATAACATAAATGAGACTCACTGCCACAACTGGGAATGGTAGGGTCTGTGGTAAAACAGAATGAATACCTGTGCTTTCTAAAAACATTCAAATTCACATTGAAATGAAACAAACAAAAACCCACTGTTTAGGCCAAATCAGATATGTTGTAGGTGGCTAGGGTGGTTCTATAGGCTGCAGGTTTAGAGCAGGCTATCATTTTGAACCGGAATTTTCTGTGCCAATTAACAAAATCTCTAATTACTTTTAATATTTACAGTTGCCTTTTAATCATGTGTTATGTATATTTGTGTCTTTATGTTTCAGTTAGCACTTTTCATTTATCATGCAATTCAAATTTTTACTAAATTTTTAATTTCTTGGTTAATAGGCAACCTGCATACTTCATTTGTAAGACTATACTTTTGAGAAGGATCAATAATAGGTAGTAAGTTTCGATCATCAGGAACAATGTACAGTAACTGAATCTAACAGTTAGAGATGGTGTTTAGAAAATGTGGAGTTAAAAGATGGGTATACCCAGTTGTTCTTGACTGCCATATGATGTGGTTGTGCAGATGGCAACATTTTTTGTAAAGATATATCTAGATCTTTTAAATGACTGGAAATTATTTGGACATTTTTGTTGGCTTCTTGTTGGTAATTTTTGGCAATAGGTGAGGCATATGTGTGCATACACATGCTGCGAATATTTAGTTACCAATAGAAATCCAAAAATTTTAATTGGCCAGTATTAGAGCCAAACCCCTTGAGCAAGCTCCAACTGTTGTGCTGCTACATTGTTGCCTTTTCTTAACGATAGTGGTTCTCTGATCAAGCTTAGTAGGCAATGAAGAGTTTTTGGAATCTTAGTGCAAACTCTTTCCTCAAATCTCAGGAAAACTGAATTGTCATGCATTAAGTGGAAAATTGTCTCCCCCTCCTATTTTCTGTCATGTTTCCCCTTATCTTACAAGTTCCCATCTGAGGTTTCTTACACCTGAGCTCCTTATTTCTGCTTAGTTCTTAAAGAGAGAAACGGAAGCGTGGTCTTATATTCTATTGTGATGTAGTAGAAGACCTACAACAAGGTCAGTTAGCAGCTATTGTTTTAGTGAAAGCCAGTGGACAGTTAATCAATCACCTTAATCTTCCACTTACAAAAATGATTGTGGAACTAATAAGTTTAGCTTTTTTATATCAATGTAAAAGTTGCTGAATATATTGAATAGGTAAAGGGAGTTTCTACACTTACATTTTAACCTGATTTCAGTCAGTAAATATTCAAATACCCATCCTTTGCTAGGCACAGTACTAGTCTATGGGAAATATAACAATAAATAAAATAAACATGGTAGACTTGAGACTCATAATAGGAGAGTAGAATACTTTAAATGATCAAATAATACAGTGTGGTAAGCTCTGAGAGATCCTATATGATGTATTCCTGTGCATTCTCTGACCTCCCTAACACTCCACTCATTCTCTCCATTCCAGCTGCTTTGGCCTTTGTTTTTCCTTGAATGTAGACATCCACAGTAGACCATTTGCACTGTTTTCTCATGTTGGCCTGGAACACTCTCCCCACATATCCACATGACTGGCTCCTTTATTTCCTTCAAAGGTCTCTTCACCAGAAGCTCTTTTCTCCTCACCACCATAGCTGAAGTGCTGTGCTCTCAGTGCCCCCTCCTTACCCTCCTTCATTTTTAGCACATTTTATCATCATGTATTTGTAATTCTTTATCTTTTTTCCTCTAGGTTGTAAGCTCTTTTAGAACAGGGAGTTTATATTTTTCTTCATTGAGTCTTACTTAGAACTTTAAAGATAAGGAAACTAAAGTTGAAAGAGGAACTGAATTGTATAATACCACATACAAAATTGCATACATCCCAGTTCTTTTGGCTCTAAATCTATTTCTAATCACAATTTTATTGATCTAGAGCTATGATTATTATTTGAAAGTCTACTAACCGTTTGGATTGGGTAAATACAATATTTTTATTCTTTGAAAATAGGCTGAGTGCTCAAGATATGTAATAGAGGAAGAGAAGCAGTCTGGGGTAAAGATGGATGAGTTAACTGTATTAACAGTTATATTTGCAATTTATTTCCTTATCAGAGAGGTCTGCTGAAATGGAGAGAGTTGGTGAAGTTCCTTGTAGATGTCTTCACTGGCTCACATTTTAAATCTAAATAAATTACACATCTTTTAGTAAAATACCATTCAGTTTTTGTCTCAGATGATCAATAAGATGCTCCCTTTTACTCAGATTAGCTGGTGTGAAAAGGTAGATGACAGAGTAGATAAATGTTGTGTTTGCCATCTTCCATGACCACATCAAAATCACAACTAAATTATAGAATGATCAACCTGGAGAAGCATCTCAAGACTAGCTGAACAGAAGTTCTGTAACTAAGGATATAGAGAAGAAACCATGATGAAACTGTAGAAGGGACAGAGATGCCGAATGAGCTAGTCCCACACCCACATTTGGCAGTTGAGAATCAGGAGGGGTATCTCAGCTACAGAGGTATCTCACCCCATTACGAGTGAGGGGTCCCAGTCTCATATCAAGCTCTTGAGCCCAGAGCACCAGTGCCAGGAGGAGACCCTGTAACATTTGGCTGTGAAAATCAGGGGATTCCATCCGTCCAGGTGAGACAGAAGGCTGTTAGAAACCAGGACGTTCTCTTAAAGGGCTCAAGCACAGACTCAGTCGCTTGTAAGCACTCACCCTGGGCTGTGGTGAAGGAACAGAGGCTTGAGTGGTATCAGAGACATACAGGGAGAAATTGAGTTGTATGACTTCAGGGCAAGGGCTGGAGGGACAGCTGCCATTGTTCCTGTGTTGAGCCCTCCCCGCACATGGCCAAATCTGAATCCACATTAACCTGGTGAACATCACTCCCCCCACATTGGTGACTCCCTGAGACCCCTCCTCACCCAACTCACATA